AAACTTTCATATATTCTAGATTTATTACATGTAAAGTAAAACATTTCAAAAGTTTTTGTGTTTTAATTTTGATGATTAGAGCTTACAGCTCACGAAAGTCAAAAATCCAGTATCTCAAAATATTAGAATATTTCCTAAGATCAATCAAAAAAAGGATTTGCAAAACAGAAAAATTCAAGTTCTTTAAAGTATGTTGATTTATGCACTCAATACTTGGTCGGACTCGGGGCTCCTTTAGCACAAACTCCAGCATCAGTGAGGTGTGAATGGAACCGATCAGCCTGTGTACTTGAGCCTTCAGCTCGTCTGTATTGTTGGATCGACTGTTTCTCATCTTTCTCTTGAAAATATCCCATAGATTCCATATGGGGTTCAGGTCAGGCATGTTTACTGGCCTGTCCTCATGTTGGTTGGCATGTCCTCTTTACCGCCACATAGCCAAGGATGTGAGATGCAATCCAAGCACTGTAAAGTACACTTTAGACCACCATGATGCCACCAATTCACACCAGAACTGAAAAGGGAGAGGTACAAAAAAGAAACTTTCAGACAGACATGTGAAGCATCTCACAATTCTCAGTCTTAAGTACCGAAGAAAGCCCTCACGAGAACTGCGTGACGAGATCAACACCATAATGACAACACAATGCAACAGTGTCTTCAAGAACTGTGAATCGGAAACTTGGAGAAGGACTTGTTGGCAGAATAGCAGCAAAGAAGCTAGGGCTGCACGATAAATCGCATGCGATATTTAACGCGCATCTTGTCAGAAAGCCGGTTCTTTAATCAGCGGTAAATCTCCATCACCTGCGGGCTTTCACATTGAGCAGCATTAACTACACAGAGCCGTTGTTCACTGACGAGCTGCGCAAAAAATCGCGCGAATATGAACGTGGTTTTGCGCAGCTCGTCTGTGAACAACGGCTCTGTGTAGTTAATGCTGCTCAATGTGAAAGCACGCACGTGATGGAGATTTACCGCTGATTACAGAACCGGCTTTACTGATAAGATGCGCGTTAAACATCGCATGCGATTTATCGTGCAGCCCTAAAAGAAACCATTACTGAAAGAGAACAATAGAGTGAAACGCCTGAAATTTCATTGCCATTTCAGCCTCAGGAACAGGTGACTTGGTGAAAATTGATGTCGTCTTATTGGGCCTGGATTTATTTTCCAAGAGGACAATGACGCTAAACATTCTTCTAACTATTGCCGGAACTACCAGTTAGAAAATAAACTGGACAGATCTATTGTACATTCAAAGGAAAGCCTTTAGCTTGAGTTGCAGAAGGGATGGGATAACATTAGTGTTGAGGTTCTCAGGAAATATACTGACACTATGCCAGAGAGATGTGCTGCTGTAATTGCTGCAAAAGGTGGACATACCAAATATGAAAGTTAAACGTGGATAAAAACAGTACGACTCACTTTATCTGATATTTGTTTTGTTTTGCATGATTAAAAATCTTGCAACAAAATGGTATGCACTGTATAAAAATTAATAATCAGTTAAAACTTGGAAAACATATGAAAGTAAAATAAATAAATAAGCCCCAGTATGATCTGCTTTTAAAACTCATATTATACAAATATTTTGCTATTTCTTTTGCCAGTATGGTCAAGTGATAATGTCTCTCTCATCATCACAACAGTGGAAGAAACTAGACCTGGTCTAGCAGTTCAAGGAAAATGAAAAGAAACACTTGTTTAGTGTGGAAATGGAAAAAAATAAAATACAATTAGGTTTCATGATGACGTAAACTTCAGACAGAAATCAGTGGCTCTCATTTCATAGTGGATATGTTGATTTGATGATGTCACAGTCACCATGGCGACGTGGCCATGAGTACTGCTTTCATTGGTATAGCGGAAGTCAAAGACACATGAAGCCGGGCCATATTGTTAAACTGTTAAATTGTTTCTATGGTCGCCGTTTATTCAGTAGTGTGTCATGCCAATCCAAAGAATCCTTTGCAATGTGATCCGGAATTCATTTTTATGCATGTGTGCAAAAAAAACTCACCTTTCTGAATAAACCTTCGATTAACATTTAAAAAACTATATTTGTTGTGGCTTGGTGAAAAAAAACATCCATGCACTTTGTCAGCCACTTTACAGGATTATAAGGGCAAACGAAGCCATTTGCCAGTTTCAAAGGGGATATTTGGCATTGACATGCAGATGGCAGTCAGCACAAAGCTCCTACACATCAGGGAATGGGTTCACGTTGCTCGCCTGGCACGACGTCAGTGCCGACAAGGTCAAGCCTAAATGCTCCTCTCTGATTCAGAGTATCAGAGTTTTGCTAGGCAGAGAACTGAGCCATCTGAGAACGAAGCTTGCGCCTCGCTTAGGAGGCTAAAGAGGGAAACAGAAAGAAGAAAAAAGTGAAAAGAGAAGAAACAAGTAGGTTTGCCCCAAAACTCCTAAAATCCCTGCAGAAACGGCCTAAGGTGGTTCAAACCAGTCTCTGAGTTCCCAATCAAACTGAGCTGGGAAAACCAGCTTAGTTGGCCTTTAAGAAGCTGGTTTAAACATTTTTTTTGAGCTATCATGACTGATTTTTACAGCATGTTATGTAATCATTAAATCAGGGAGACTCGGTTGACGTCACTGCTAGCTGGCCCTTTGGTATCCACGGTGATGCGGCTGTCCATCATCCATCACCGGAGACTGTGAAAAATGTCAGTTCTTCATAAAAGGGATTGGGGTGTCCTTGCACTCTTTTACAATACTGGCCCCATCCTTCCATTCAGTGCCGTTGACGTGTTGCCCACTGCAAAGTCTTGACAGTTCGTTTGTGTGCCGCTTTTTCCCTGACAAGGCCACTTCAGGGCTTATGTAACTCACTGTGACATTAAGCACAGGCAGACAAGGTTTACTTCTGCTAGGAGGGCTTCTTTCACAGGGATAGTGTTTGCTTTTAATAGCAAGGGAAACGAGTGTTGTTGTTTTTTTTAATCTGTGACGTTTTCATTTCTCGTTTGCTGTTTGATCCAAATTTTTTGTGTAAATCGAAAAAAACTGTCAGATTTAGAAAAAAAGGTGTTTTTTACACTACCATTGAGAAATTTTAACCAAACTATCTTACAGACTTTTCATTAAGATCCTAAAGAATCATATCAACTTGTGGAAAATGGGCATCCTATGACCCCTTTAAGAAGCTGGTTTAAACATTTTTTTTTTCATAGCTGTGATGACTAATTTCTACAGCTCATGTTATGTAATTATTAAATCAGGGCGATTCGGTTGACGTCACTGCTGGCTGGCTCTTTGGTCACCACAGTGATGCAGCTGTCCATCACCCGTCACCAGAGACTGTGAACAATGTCAGGTCTTCATAAAAGGGACTGGGGTGTCCTTGCGCTCTTTTACAATACTGGCCCCCTCCTCCCATTCAGTCCTGTTGACGTGTAGCCCACTGCAAAGTCTTGACGGATCGTTTGTGTGCCGCCTTTTTCCCTGACAAGGCCACTTTTTAGAGCTTATGTAACTCACTGTGACATTAAGCGCAGGCAGACAATGTTTATTTCACAGGGATAGCATTTGTTTTTAATAGCAAGGGAAAGCATTTTTTTTTTTATATCTTCGATGTTTTCATTTCTCGTTTGCTGTCTTCTGTTTGATCTATAGTTTATCTAAATTGTATTAAACTGTCAGATTTAGAAAAGTTGAGAATGTAGATGATAAACTTTTTTTTAAAATCTATCATAATCTTTTATCAAAATTTGAAACAAACTTCCTGTTTGTTGACATCACCTAGGCCAGAGGTTTTCAAACTTTATGGTGCATATATAGATACCTGTATTTGCTGTATATGAGCAATATCACTCGAGTACGAGAGTGATACCGGCTCTATACACGGAACGTGTGTAATTAAACAAGAAACGTCTCGGTTACGTATGTAACCCTC